GAGATTCTGAAAGTCCTGATCCATTTATATAAAAATGAGCTGATGAGATTTTGGCCACTTTATGATGTCATAACGTTTTTTTGGCTTGTGTAACCATTAGCCAATCACCAACCAAGGCAACCCCCCCCCCCACCTTATTACCTGAATCTCCTCCTAGAGCACCATTGTGTTCTTTCTAACCAAATATCTCTCAGAGGGGCGTGGGGAGGGGCTCCTTATTTTCATCTAAAGTAACAGAAAGAGAATCAGCCCTTTTGAAACAGGGCTGAAATAGAGGGGATTATGGGATGCTGCAATGATCTGTTTGGTGTTTGGAGCCAAACACTTCAGAGACATGTTTGTATATATCTGAGACCTATAATATATTGATGAGAAACAGTATGATAGGGGACCTTTAACAGTGAATTAAAGCTGTTGTTATACTGTACACACTTGGGGCTAAAGTTTATTACATTCTTATATTTTAGTTGACCCTTAGTAGCCATCGACTCAAAATGTTCAAGCACTCGCTCCATGGGCCACCAAGCCAGCACATTTGGTGGCCAAAGTGCATTTTGGGTAGCCCAGATGAAACGTATGTAAAAACATTACAAAATGCAACTTAACTCACTATTCCTCTGACACTTCGGTAAATTAAAAGACAAACCAGATCTGATTAGATTGGACTTTTTTTTTACTTAGTTTTAGAACTCGTTTTGTTTTCTCAAAGTTCAGTCTATCTTACATATTCAACCATTATTTGGACAGGTAATCTTACTGAGATATGCAGTTATTCTCGAGAACTGACAGAAGTTGGAATCCTGCCAGCAGAAACCAAATAATTGGTATTTTATATTAAAGTTTTAACAGTAGAATGAAGAGGCAATATTTTAAATGATGCATAAAAACAGGTAGCGTCAAATTAACCATGTTAATTAGAGTTGTTTTATTAAAAGCTATCGGACTGCCCATTCATTGAACCTAATGGAATACACAAAGGCAGCAATTAAAGTGCAGAGCAGCAGTAGGAGTCGTTACATCCTAACGTCAGCTGTGTGAAAATAAAACAAAGAATTGTTCCCTTGGAAATGTGCGGATGATTCAATCAGGTCCACCTACATACTGTATAGTGTATCTGTCTGTGTTAAGTTACAAAGCTAGAGAAAGGGTTGTTGGCAACTTCTGTACAGATGTCAACGTCTCAAAAATAAGGTACATATTCAAGTTTATGTATTAGTGAATAGAATGTAGAAACATAAATAACATTTTGGTTCTTTAGAGTAAAAACAGCCATCCACACACACACACACACACACACACCTAAAACGTGGGTTTGATCCATCTACCAATGCAGTTGTGGAAAAACTAACCTGCAGGTTTTCTGACAATCGGGATGAAATGTAATTACGCAGAGAGATAAACTGAGAGATGTAGAGGGAGAGGGAGAGATATCGAGTTTGTGAGAAAGCGTTCTCTTGAATGTCTAAACACAACAGAGAGGAGCAGACAGGCGCAGGGGAAAAGCAGAGATGTCCAGTCACACAGGGGGACAAAGAGACAGAGCACTTATATTGTGAGGCGGATGATAGCGGTGGCAACAATAGCAGTCAGATAATCACAGCTGCCTAGGTGACAGCACGGCATGATTAACACTAATGACCCTACACTTTATGAGACTCTACAAAGACAATTAGTCCTCCCACTCTCCTCCTCCTCCTCCTCCTCCTCCTCCTCCTCCTCTCCTCTCCTCTCCGGGGTCCGTGTGCACCGGTTTAACCCACACCTCCTCTCCATCCCCCTCCTGCTTTTTCATTTAAAGTGGGAGTATTCCATTTTCTGAATTTTTCACTTACCAACACTGGAAAATGATTCACTGTACGACATGCAGACTCCAAATGCCATCCTTGCTACTTTTAGAAAATATCACCCACCCAACTATTTGAAACAACACTTTGAAGAGTTTTGGTGGATAATTCATGGGCTACTGTTCACAAGCACAGCATGCAATTATATGTGATGGATGATCCAATCAGGTGATACACGCTAAGGTGTTGTTGACATGTGATGTGATTGATCATACGGTTGCTGATATATGACTTGAGAGAATATGATGGCCAGTCCCACCAACATTACCAGCAGAGGCCCGTAGAACAACATTTCTTTGCAGTGTTTAAACCAGTTGAGGTCATTTTAAGATAATGATTAAAAAACGCTGCAGTGACCTTGAATTTTTTCACGTGATCTTCACAAGGTTACAGTACATTTTTGTATTTCCATGCCAAAGCTCTCACGTAAACTGTTCAGCCTGATGATAGCCATCTGGTAATAAGGCGGTGCACGATCATGAGCATAATTAACTAATTCCAGAAAATCCCTTTATCCCAGTGTGTCTCTGAGCGTATGCATACATGAAGGCACCTTTGGGTGACCATGACAGTCTCTCAACACAATAACACTTTCCCTCCTAGCAAGCACATGGTGGAGTAGTCTTGAAAACCTACATCTTCTCAGTGTTCCTGCTCTCAGAACTAATCCCCATACCAATACCACCGTGCCAATAGATGGGGCTCTCATAATGACTTGCAAATCCACAGTACCAGAATTGGACTCCTCACAGCACGTATTTAGCAGCATATTGACTCTCTCAGACCTCTAGACTGTGTAGGTTGAAGAATGGCTCCAATTGTTTCTATGCTCCCAAGACTGCACTGAATTAGATGGAGTGTGTTCTTGCTGCAGAGGGGAGTAGCTTTATGTAGTGCATGTTGTTTGCCTGCATACTTTCTGTCAAGGCAATACATTATGGGTCTCAAGCCGACTGTATTTTAAGCCTGCATGTTTGTCACCTCACCATTCAGCTGATATTAGGAAACGCCAAGGAGCTTTCTCTGGGGCAGAGGAAAAACTGACTGGCAAATGAATTCAGGGGCAGAGGCCAGTCAGCCAACAGCGAATCAATATCACTTTGCTTTACTGTAGCAAAGTCCGCTATAAAAAACATCTTTGATGTGTTTAGACATTGATTTGTAAGTTTATGGATTTTGTTTGGATCTCTAATTACATGGACTCACACTGTAGTCTTTTGCTTTGAAATAAGCCAACATTCTCTCCCATTGATGTTAAAAAACGTTGAGTGCTTCCCGAGCATAACACCTGTTGAAAATACTACACACCTCATAGGCTGGGAGATGGTGCCTTAAAAGGCAGCTGGGATACTTTCCATAGTTACATGATGAGAAATCTTTCAAATGTGCTTTAATTGGATTGAAATGTGGGAGTGCCTTCTGCTGGCAGAGAGTAGAGAGCCTGTGAGCACGGCTCCCCCGCGGTGAGGTGTAATGATTTGCTGCATTTCCGCCCAAAAAGACACATTACTGATGGGATGGCCCCACAATTGAGAAACGCAATCAGACAAAAGAAGATCAATGCTATTACTAAGCATTCTGACCACATCTGTCAGACTGAATTGCCACACATGGAGCTTCACGCCACAAAAGGCTCTGTGAGGAGCTAAGAAAGAAAGCAAAAACCAAAACGCATTCTTCTTACTGACACATTCATCTTACGTGCAACAACCCCGAACACTAACATATATGGGCTTCCTCTCATGAGTCACATCTGCAGTACAGACACGACAATTATGTACTGCAAGATCCTTAGGATATTCTGCACATTTCCATTTCTATGTTCACTGGCGCTCTGTGTGAACTGTGCATCTACGCAGGGAACGACACCTTTACTGCGATGGCACATCTCCAGAATACTAAATATTTCATCCCTTGTATGATTTGAAGAGTTGTCTGCCATTCTCTCTGGACTCAGTACAAAAGGGGCTCTGAAGTCAGAAGTCAAGATCTGTGGTGTTCAAACTTACTACCTCCCTATAATATATATATTATTTTTCTTCAGCCCACGTTTCAGCTTGTTGCATTAACAGCCAACCTCTGGCCTTACATATGGACTTCTAGCTGTCCACCTTTATGTCTGATCACATGCTGTAATATCAAACCGAGAAAATCTTGGAGACAGAAGATTACCACTGGTTAAACAGAGCAGAACATTTACTGTTCATGAAACAGCAGGCAGCGCTGCGGGCCGCAAACTGAAAATGTTTTGTGGCCCATATAGCCATAATAAAAGACATAAATGGCTATGAAACTGCTTATATGCAAATGTTGTCTGCCTGTGTGTAAAAAATAAGACTAACTGACAAAGAGTAAAAAAAGAGAAAAAGACTGCTGTATGGGATGCCATAACTGATCCTTTAAAGTGGCAGCCGGTTTACAAGTGGGGCTCAACCCCAATCCTGTAAAGTAGGCATTTCCATGATGGCAGGGCACTGAATAGTTATTCTTGAACAAGCATATGACTCAGTTCAGGGAGATTTATAGACCCGTGTAACGTATTTTGAATGGGGTAGAATCATCTGAGGTTCATATTTAACCACAGATTGAGCTTAATATTTAACTGGTGCTAAAAATGTAACATTAGCTAACCCAGTTGAGCAGCTTTAACCTCAAAGTCTAGTCCGAAGACCCCGAAGAGGCTAACATATGCCTTAATACTGTGCATTTAATGTAGTAAGGGTTAAAAGTACATACATAATGTATATAGTG